TCAAAATTTCTCACAGAATGTTTCAGCTGTTTTTAAAGAAAAAACCAAAAAAGGAAGCAGGTTTGTTTTTCTGCATTAAAAAAACCACAAATTACAGTTGCTTTCTTAAAACACCAAGAACTTCTGCTCTTTTAAATGAAGACTTGAAAGAGTGGGAGATCTTTTTGCCATGGCTCTGCTTTTTTTAGTGTTGTTATTTGTTGGCCATCAGAATTGATGAGAAAAGGAGAATAGAAGGAACATACTCTACTAGATCTCAGATTAATTCAATTTCATGGTGATACCGTAGCTTAGAGCAAGGAGGGCAAAGTAAATAATAAATGAAAAGTAAGCTGATAACATCTCTATGATAATTTATGTACCAGAAAGAGAAATCATGAAATACATACGAGTGTTGTTGTATTACAGATGGCACATATGAACCATTCACAGCCACATGACCAATGCAATACATTCTGAAGACAGCCCACCCTGATCTGGCTCACATCAAGCAGTACAAAACAGTAATTCCTATATAACAGGATTCACAAAAATAGTATGTCCTGGGGAGACTTTTCTGAGTTTGACATCTCCTTTGGAACGGCAAGATTGGCAATATTGTTTAATAGTGTTCATTTTTTGTGCTGGTGAATGCCTCCCCCGTTAGCCAGGAGTGATGATAAATGATGGAGAGCAGCTTAGTGAGTTCTTCTGCCAGCTCCCTCACTACCCTTGGGTGAATCTCATCTCACTACATGGACTTGTGAGTGTCTAACTGGCACAGCAGGTCACAAACTAATTACTCCTGGATTACAAGCAGCCTGTTCTCCTCCCCATCCCCATCTGCCAGCTCAGGAAGCTAGTTGATAACCCATCTTTCTGTTGAAGACTGAGGCAAAAGAAGCATTAACTGCTCAGCCTTATTATCCTTGGTTGCAATATTCCTCTTTACATCCAATAGAGGTTGGAAATTTTCCTTAGCCATTCTTCTGTTTTAAATGTATTTATAAAAGCACTTTCTACTATCTTTCACAGAGGTGGCCAGATTGAGTTCTAGAAGAGCTTTTGTCTTTCTAATCTTCTTTCTATGTGACCTAACAACACCCTTGTAGTTTTTCTGAGTTGCCTGCCACTTCTTCCTAAGGTGATAAACTCTTTTGTTTTTCCCCTAAGTTCCAGCAAAAGCTCCTTCTTCAGTCAGGTAAGTCTTCTTCCCTGACAGCTTATCTTTTGGCATGCAGGAGCAGACTGCTCTGTGCCTTTACAATTTGCCTCTTAATGTATGCCCAGCCTTTCTGGACCATTTTGTTTTTAAGGGCTGTTTCCCAAGGAACTTCCTGAACCAGTGTCCTGAACAGGCCAAAGTCCAGCCTCCTGAAATCCAAGGTGGAAGTTTTGTTGATACCTTCCTTACTTCACCAAGAATTTAATACTCCATTATGTCATGGTCACTGTGCCAAAGATGTCATCTGACCACCACATTTCCTACCAGCCCTTCTGTTTGTAAAAAGCAGGTCTAGCAGGGTACCCACCTTGCTAAGCTCAGTTACTAGTTGTGTCAGAAAGTTGTCTTCCACACAATCAAAAAGTCTTCTACACTGCCTCCCCTCCACCGTGGTGAGTTTCCAGCACACATCCCACAAGTTAGTCTCCCAGAAGAACAAGGGCTAGCCATTGTGAAACATCAGCCAGAGGCTTACAGCATAGTTCATCCATCCCTTCATCCCGGTTGGGTTGTCTAGAATAGACTCCTATCAGGATTTCTGCGTTGTTGACCTTCCCTCTGATTCTTACCCACAGACACTCAATCTTGTCATCATTATCCTTGAGCTCTACACAGTTGAAACACTCCCTAATGTACAGAGTCACTCCATCACCTCTCCTTCCTTGCTTATCCCTTTGAAGTGCTTGTAGCCATGAATTGCAGCATGCCATTTAAATGCCTCATCCCATTTCATTTCCCTGATGGCAACTACATGACAGCTTTCCTGCTGCACAATGGCCTTCAGCTCCTCCTGTTTGTTACCCATACTGATGTAGATGCCCTTTAGCTGGGCTATCAATTTAACCCCTGACACAGGCATGCCACCCCAGGTTTATATCTAGTGATCTAGATATATCTGGTCTTACCTGCTTCCCCCTTCAAAGCAAGTTTAAAGCCCCCTCAATTGTCCCTGCCAACTCACAGGCCTAGAATCCTTTTCACTCTTTTAGACAGGCAAACTTGATTTGCCTGCAGCCAGCCTAGTGCTGTATAAACTATCCCACAAGGGGAAAAAGCCAAAATTGCACCAATGGCACCATCCTTCAAGCCATGTGTTGATCAGAGTTTTCCTGTTTCTTTCAGCACTCTCCCTGCTACTGAAGGCATTGAGGAAAACACCACCTCTGCCCTTATCCCTTCAACCAGTCATCCCAATGCCCTGAAGTCCTTTTTGATTGCCCTACGAACTGTCACTGCTGATCTGGAAATCCAGAATTAGATAATAATCAGAGGGCTGAATTAGTCCAAGGAATCTTCTAGTAATAGCTCTTACTTAGACCCCAAGGAGGCAGCAGATTTCCCTGTGGGACAAGACCAGTCAGTATATGGGCCCTCAGTTCCCCTCAGAAGGGAATCACATACAACAATAACCCGTCCTTCTTTTTTTCAGCTGTAGCTGTAATGTGTCTGACTGACTTACCCCAGATTGACCTTCACTATCACTTGCTTGACACTCGAGTCCCAGAGCCTCATACCTAGTCCCATCTCTCCTCACAAAAAAAAACAACCAAACAACCAAAACAAAAAACAAACACCCCAAAAACCCCAAGCATATCTGAATGCAGCAAAGTCAACCACAGCACAAAATAGATAAGAATTGTAATATCTAGAATCACATCACTGAGGTTTTTGAAATCAATCAGGAATTCTTCTTAGATCAGTTTTCTGCCTGATTGTGCCTTCCTGCACATCCCTGTCTGGTTGCTTCTTTTAATATGCTTAGATTGAGGCTTTGCTATTTCCTGCCTTAACTCAATGGATTTATGAGCTGGTTTTTTTTAAGGCCACTGGAGCTTATATCTTTATTCCTAAAAGATACATCACCCTTAAATAGATATTGCTTATTATCTGTTGAGTATTCAAGACTTAAACAACCACAATTTAAGATTTCAAGTTGTTTTATGAATGCCTAACAAACATCACTTAGCTCTTACTTCCCAAACACTTTCAACTTCAATTTGCCATAGTCTATGAATAAGGCTTATTATTTTCCATTATAGAACATAACTGTAAGTCATGCATTACACAAAACTCTAAACAGCAAGATTATGTGATTTTTGTTCAACTTGTCTTCCAAGCAGTGAAAGCAGAAGCAAGTGACCTAGAAGTACAGAGGTGCTGTTTGATAATATAAGTGTATGGTTAGAAAAGCAAAGGCTGACCTGGAGTTGAATTTAGCAAAAGACAACACGAAAGGATTCTGCAAGCAAATCAGAGGCAGAAGGAAGTCTAAGGAGGACAAGGACCTATGGCAAAATAAACAAAGGCCACGAAGGTGGATGCATTTAATGCTTTTTTGCCTCAGTATTTACCAAAAAAAGATAGCTCTCAGGAATCTTAGGTTCCTGCGCCTAGAGAAAAGCTCTGCAGCAAGGAAGAGTTACCCACAGTTGAGGGAGCATTTAAAACATACTTTTGTATGCATCCCTGTAGCAGAGGACAACAGTGTATTCCTGTGCACTGGGAAGTGTCAAGCAGACCAGGAGGAAGATCCTTCCCCTCTTCTCAGCACTGTTGAGGCCACGTCTGTAGTCCTGTGCCCAACTCTGGGCTACCCAGTACAAGGCAGACATCGACTTAATAAGGCAAACACGGAGTCACAAAGGTGATTAAGAGACTGGAGCATCTGACACAAAATGAGAGAGTGTTGTACCTCACACAGATTGTCTGGATGTAATTTTAATTATTTTTCATCATTATGGGTACAGCAACTAAACAAAAAAAGCAAACAAAAATGCAAATCCACTTGACAAATTCTAGTTGTGAGATTATATGCACAAGCAAATGTGACAAACATTGTAGTAACTAGCCATTGACCAACCTAAATAGGCATTTAAACAAAGATTCTCAGCAAGTCCTGAATATAATTGTCTTTCTGCTCTTGACATTTTCAGACATTTGCCACACAAATATAAATACACCACAAAAAACTAAAAAGCTATTTGATTTATATTAAATAACATCCATACCCAGTAACCAAAATGACAAAGCCATTTATTCTGCAGAAATTGAAGAGAAAATCAGATTTGTAACTAAGATTTTAAAACAGTCTAAAAATATCTGTATCTTCTGCTGTTATTTAATTGCATTTCATTTTAATATTAGACATTTCATTTTAGTGCTTGATTAAGATTTTGGGAGGTGGTTTTTGTTGGAGTTTTTTAAGCAGTTTTTCAGAGTTAAAATTATTTTTATATTAATATTAGCATAAGTGTGTCTACTTCCTTTTCATTCTTCCCTGCTTTTATAAAGTACATACAACTCTTCTACTGTTTCAGTTACCAAGCAATAGTCTGTAAAAAAGTCATGCAAAACTTCCACAAACAGGTAACTGCACAATTCTGAAGAGAAAGATACTTCAGGGCAGTAAAAAACACTGAGATTATCAGATTTAAAACACACAATTTGTAAATTGATTCCACAATTTGTAAATTGATTCAGTAAAACTGCTAGGAAAGTTAAAAAAAAAATCTCAGTTTTCAGCCAGTTTAAAGCAGAATCCAAGGAGGTCAGCCCATCCTGGCTCCTTTGAAATCAACAGGAACATGTCAGGTTGGTATGGCAATGACACTGGACAGATGTTGACATGGTTGCTTTCTCAAGTTTTCTATACATGTTTTTGAATTGAACTCATTTTAACTCTCAATTTATCTTAACTGACATAAAAGTAACATACTTCTATACAATCACATGACTTTTATAACACTTTGACTGAAATAAAGGAAATAATGAACATAAAGAATTGAAAATAAAATACCTGTTATTGAACAGTACACTATGTGAGGAGCAATCTTTTTAATGTCTTCATAACCTAGACCCATTTCAGCCAGCTTCCCAGGGACAAAGTTTTCCACAAAAACATCAGATGCTGCTGCAAGCTTTAGAAAAGAAAAGGATGAGTAAAAGCTGTTAATTAGCTCCCAGAAGTTGAATAAATTCCTATGTAACTTAATTTTAAAATCTTGCTAATCAAAATGGCTCTAGTCTTCTTCATAAAAGAAAAGCCTATAGAGATACTTTTTTGTCTGTCAGATTGTGCATTTCTGCAGACCACATATTAGAGATGCTGCATATCTAGAAAGAAGACTGTCAAAATCCTAAAGTGATCAGACAAAATTGTGGTATTATCAGTATCACATCAGTTTCCTAAGACTTGACAACTGTTCACAGAACAATCTTCACAAAAATTCTTTCTACCCCATTTTTCTTAATAAAAGTGAAGTGATATATCTCCATTATTCATGTTTTCTCCATAATAGAAATAATTCTTAAATTATTTTTAATTTTTAAGCCATTGATTAGAATTACATAACAAGGCCATATATCCAACTTCCTATACATAGAAGTAGAATAGGGAGCCCAACAACACTTAAAATTTAAAGAATTAAAATTAAGATTTTAAATTAAATTAATTTCACGTTAAATACAATAGTGCTGTCAAGTTCTGCAATATGACTTTTTTCATTACTTTCAAATGAATGACCTAGTCCAAAAATCTATTGATGTTGAGATTAACATATAACCTTGATTTGCTTTAAATTACATCCTTTCTTATAAAAATTAGGAGCAGATACACATTTGCAAATTTCACTAAGACTAACACAAGTTGACTCCTGAATCATGAGAACTACATGTTATAAGACAGATGTATGCCTTGATGTAGGCTTTCTGCCTGGTAAATTGTGTAGGGTATGTGTGAATGCACAGGAATTTAAGAAATGCTCCCTAAGAGGTACACATTTTTGCGCACCCATTTTTAAGCATAATTGATATATTAATTGCTTAATGCTATTTGCAGCCAATCAAGGAGTCACAGTCTCCGAAACTGCCATGTCAAAGTGTAATTAAATATACAGTGTCTTAAACAAGCTCCTATAAACTGGTGTCATCATAAGAGAAATCACCATGCCTTCATGAAAGATAAAGTTAAGGAGGTTTTATTTTCTATTTCAATCCATCACAGTTTATACATAAATACTTTTCAAACTGGTAATGCTACAACTTTAGCCTAATTGATTCAAGAGATGAAATTGGTTACAACTTCTGTATTGCTTTCACTGTGATTTTATAATCTGTGAAAATTACAGTTGGACTAAAACAGTTGAAAGTTGTCCATGTTATATTGAAGAACTACCATCTCCAACAAGCCACTGAGGAAGAAAGCATGACACACAGTACTGCAACATGAAAAACACTATACTTCTGGACTGGGCAACATACGTGGAATGACAAAAATGCTAAGTGAAGATGTAATGACTTGGGCCCAGTTTAGCAGGGTATATGCTCTCAGAGAAAGGAGTTTTCAAGACACATTACAAGAGCTGTGCCAGTTCTGCATCTAAAGTTTTCATTGGAAATAATTTTTCATGTACAAAGGTGGCAGTCTACATGTAGCTCTGATAGTCACTGAACCAACAATTCTGCCATTGTGGAAAACTGGGTACATAGTCTGATCCAAATTGATGCCTTAAATTTTAGCTTTTATATTTTCCAGGTTCTGTACAGCATTAGCATATAACTCTGAACTTCATATAAAGTGTTAGCAAGTTCTCTTCACAGTTTAGTTAGATGAAACAATCATTTTCCAGCCCAAGAACCAAAGACACCGTTGCAGCTTCAGGCCCAAAAACTAGAAACAGAGAATTGAGGAGAGCAATCTGGGAGGATGGGACTTCATAACCTGAAGCTGTAATTGGACAATTAACCCCATTATGTAAATGGACCAAAACTTATAAAAGTATAAAAATGTGTGACCTGTTGTCCACCTTGGGTATAGCCACAGCCGGGCTCTTGTACTGCCCAAGGTGTATCCTTCGAAGGCCTTTTAATAAACGCCTACTCTGTGCTAGGCAGCCTCTCAAGGCATCAAAACAAACTATGTTCTTAAAATGCACAGAGATTTTCAGTTTCAATGGGGTCTTAAGTCCACTGTCAACTAAAATTTCATACTTCATGCCCTAAAGTTCTTCTAAACATCACTTGTATTTTAACACCTACTAACACAGCAATACAACACAGACCTGACTTGGAGTACTATCTGTTCCAGAGAGGACACTGATAGGCTCAATGTCTATGCCTCAGGAAATAATGAACAGCACAGTTCATGCCAAAGTAATCATTAAGTTGAATAACAAAGAATGATGCTACTAACTTTATAAAGGAAACCATGCATGCCTTTTGGAAGTTTTGGTTGGTGTATTTTGGTTTGTTGCTTGTTTGGGGATGTTTTTGTGTTTTGTTTGCTTAGGTTTTTACAAGAAATCTACAGAGAAGAATCTGCACAACACACACATATACAAAAATACATCTATATATATATTTGAGTAGCTTGCTTTATCAAGTAAGACAGCAATGCATGGGACGTATTAACCTTTCAGCTAAAAATAGTGGGAGAGAAGAAGTGCCATCGGCTCCCAGCCAATTAAGTCCCAAGTTATTCATGAATAAAAAAATTTAAAAGTTCACTAGTTAAGGGTAAATAATTCACAGGAGAGAAGTATACTCAAGGTTCTTAAAATGAATTTCTGGCAATAACCAATCAATAATGTTCTAAAGAGATACTACAAAAAGATATCAGAGCATGGGACTGGCACGTACAATCACTGAAGAGAAAAAATTAATTTTTATTCATAAAGACAGACAAACATCTGGAATGCAAATTAACAGCCAGCCAAAAACACTAGAAGGGAAGAAAGGTCTATAAGTGACACAGAAAGAAATAAATAAGTCACAGGAATAATTTTGTGGAATTCAAGTCATCATGTATGAAAGAATAGATCCTTGAAAAAATATTTTGTAGTGTTGTGCCAAAGGATGAAAATCAGCCAGGACTCCTGATTAATAGATTTCTTCAGCTCACTTGATACTACTGAGTAATTGTCAAGTCTGTGTTTTTGTCATATACCTGAAGACTCTCTACTCCTGTTTTTCTAACATGATTGCAAATTGAGAATTGCCTTCTTCCAGCTATACACAATATAGTTGGGAAATAAAACCTATTCTAACCATGATACCTTGCTTAATAAAGGTAAAAAATTATAGCATTGTTACATTTCTTTGTAGCTTTTACACTGGTGACACAACTCATATTTATGTAGGAGTAGGCAGTGTCACAAACTTCAATTTATACTTTTCATCAGCTACTTTAAAGACATGGACACTCCTTGTCATAGTACAATACAATGCTGAACAATGCTCAATTCCATACACATCTGTCCTGATGATAGCAGAAGACAACTGAAAACAAAAGCCTGTTATAAATATCTTCCCTTTACACATACTTTTTGACAAAACTCCAAACAGAAGTTTCATTTGAGATGAATAATGGAATGTCAAGACCTCTGCACCCAATGCTTTCAAAATATATCATTCAAAAATCAAGCAGAAGGATGAACAACTCCACAAGTAGCATGACAAACAGAGCTTCATCAGTTTTCAAGGCTGCTGTATCACAAATAAGGATGGCATTGACTTAAGGAACAGAAAGCTATAGTGGTTATTAAAGTCACTTTTAAAAAGGATAGAAAACATAAGAAATTACTTTGTCACAGGCAGTCTCCTCATTTTTACAGCTAGTGTGGTAAATATTTAGCAGATGATGCCTCTTTTTCCTCCACCTCATCTTGGCTCATAGGCTCAGCTGACTTTAACTCTTCAAACACCTTTAGCCCACACATGTGGAATCAGTGGACATTGAGTAGTTTCTCGTTCACCATTTTTAAAGGTCAAATAATAAATTAATCTTCTTCCGTGAGAGGAAAAATTTTTATAGCACTTAATTAGTAGGTATCAAAAAAAATGTGTTATACCGTGCAAAAAATTTCCAAATGAAAATTTCTGCTTCCAAATTTTTTAGAAGTTAAACATACAGCTCCACAACAAATTAACAATAAATGCCTCTATTCTGCAAAAAAAGAAGGCACTGTGGAATTATATCTACATATAATCTCCAGAGTATTTCTGTATGAAGTAGCTTTGCATACCTAACAAACCAAAAGCATCAGAAAACTTAATCTATTTCCATTTTATGCAATATTCCCAACAAAAAGTACTAGCAGACAAATTCCACCTACTGCATGACACACAGTGTCACTGTGAAAAAGGGATTTGAACTGATACTGAAACAAGAAGTAACAGAAGTCAGCTGCTACTACTGCACGGCTTAAAACACAGCACTAGCAAGTAGCAGATCTTGCATTTGTCAACAAATAATAAAGGGATAACAAAACTCAAGTTTGATGAAATGTGAGATTTGATTCTTATTTTTATTCTTTGATTGCTTTTACTATTTTTAGATAGAAAAATGGATCACCTTAAAAGATGTTGGAAGTCAAATACTGAAAAAGAAACAAATACTAAGTTTCACCTACAGGACAATGTTTTTCAGGAAGATGTATAGCAACTGAACACCATAACATTAAAAAAACTGCATTTACTGGAGCACAGCATCTCCTCCTAACTGCTCACTGACTTCATCTGATCAGTCCACCTTGAATTGTTCTACTGCAGTATTACAGGAAGATTAGTAGTAGTACAGCAGCAGCAACAGGAAAGGAATAGGCTATTAGACCATTTCCTCACAATATTTCATTTGAAGATTTTGATGACATTTTCGTGTCATCATGTAAATCCAAAGTCATTACAAGTTACACTGAACATTGAGTCCAAAAGCACAGAGTACAGAAGTATATAGTGAAATTTACAAATTTTACTGCATACATAGATTTTTTAATTATCAAATTAACACTTGAAATGCAGAGTTTAATCCTTATTACTTAGTGTAACTTGTGAATCACTTAGGATCACAACAATACAAAATAAGGACACCTTGCACGCTGTTAAAACCTACCTCTTTGATTAGCTTTACTCCTTTTGAATCTTTCATGTTGATAGCTATACTCTGGGGATTAAAAATAAATACAACAGTAATTTATGTGGAAAAAATATGTGAAAGGTATTATTAGCCTATTCTAAACAAAACCAACAGTCAAATTGCACACGATGGCTAATTTGGATAAATAAATTTTAACACATAGCCCATCTCCTCCTGCAAAAAAAAAATTTTCTCAGCAAAACAAGCTGAACTATATCTCATTTATGAATCAGGCAAGCACCAAAACCAGACTGACAGATGGGCAGCCTGGTCACTATATAGCTACACAGGACCCACTACTGCAAGTACACAGGCGGACACCGGAAACATTTGTTTCAATGGTAACAAGCCATTAAACAATTCAGGTATGTCATGAAACTTCATGTTAAGTTTCAAAAGCTACATTTTGCCACCCTAAAGTTTCAAAATCTAGATTTAGCCACATGGTATAATGGCAGCACTCTTCCTGCCAGCTGACACAGGGCAACTGAGCTGATGCACCTGAAAAAAATGATCACTCAAATAAAATACCCCTTGCTTTCAGCAGGTTTTATTTTCAGTTAATTAGCACCAGCAACTGAAGACCATTAGGAGCATTCTTGCTTTTTCATTTTGCCTCAGCTACCCACAGCACAGTACCAGAGATTTACAACCTTTGTTGTTCTAAAAACGTATGGATTTTCTCCTGAAATTTATTCATCAAAACATTAGGTCAATGTAAGTATTGCTCCATTATATATATTAAGAATCAAACTAAGAAGTGTTATATATTCAGTTATAATTACAGAAAACATAGGCTCATGTTCTGTTCCACACCTCATTTACCTTTTTATTTCTATTGACACTGAGAAAATAAACACTTTCTGTCCCAGCAAAAGGTGGGCCCCAGGCTCTTGTGTCATCACCAGCTCCTGGAAGAAATACCATCAAATATTCATAGTTGCCAAATATCACACACCCAACAAATAAGAATAAAAAGCTTTTCTCCAATATCACATTAAAGTCACGTAAGCTTAATCTAGCAGGTAGAACAAATATTAGTTTAACATGTTTATTTTAGGATATTTATATCAAAAAACACCTAAAAGTTAATGCAATTAAGCAAAGTGAACAAAGTTTTTGCTAGTGTTGGGATTCCATTTAGTCTTGAAAATACTAATACAACCACACACCACTAGTGTATATGCAGGTTTTTTGGTTGTTTTTCACTTGTGGGTTGGTATTTTGGTTGTTTTCTTGTGGAGTCTGGGGAAAGGGAAATTGCAGTTCTTTTGGTAGCTTGTTTAACATAATATAGAGCTACAATGCAATGTTTTTAGTCAGTCTTTAAGAATTTAGTAGAGTCTCTTGCCTGCACCAAGTCACACAGTTCATCTGGTCAGTAATCTATTCCTGAAACACTCCAAATATGACATCAAGATACCACTGACAGACAACAACTGATTAAGTCCCATGCTGCACAACACTAACTAAAAGAAGTGCTTGTTATAGCTCGTGCAGGGCCCCACCTCCAGCTCTTCCAGAAACCCTGCCTTTAATGTGCTGCAAACACTGATATTACTGTATCGTTTATGCTTAATTTCTATATTTTTAACCTTAAACATCATGAAGACTAGAAACCTATTTTAAATGGAATTAAAGCTAAATTAAACTTCAGATAGAATCACTGTCCTGAGTGTTAGCTAGCATGTGTATTCTTGCATCTATTTCAATATCTAGACTTCATCTACTTGTTAACTTCACTTAACTGAAAACTTTCCTTAGTGAGGCAGCAGGGAAGACTGATACAGAAACATAGATATAAAAATAAGCTGAAGAACCTTAGGCAGCATATTACATAGCCACTGTCCTAATAATGCTATACACTACAGTAACACAAATAAAAAATCTACAGCCATCTAAGATCTACAGATGCAAACATAAGTTGCTTATCAACATTTCTATTGTTTATTATCCGAAAAGACTATTTTGGTTCAAGCAGGATGGTTAGGAGGGCAGGGGTAATCTCTTCTCTGTGTACTTTAAGTGATTCAAAGCAAAACATTTCAGTAATATTTTCCCTATAGAGCACCAGTGGGGCTATTGTTCTTTTGGATTAATACTCCTGTATAAGTAGACATCCTCTCACAGAAATGGAGGATTACTCACCTTCTAAAATATTTGAAATTTAGAATTCTGAAGCTGCCCTTAAAACTCTTACGTTATAAAATATAGGGAGTGTAATATTGTTTATTATCACAACTATTTTCACCAACTACTTTCAAGATAAGTAATACCAAAAGAGAGATACATAAAGCATGGAAATTTAAAGGAAAAAATACATTATACAATGTGCAGCTGCTATGGTATAATTACACACCTCAAACACGTAATGATGCATAACACTTAGAGCAAAGTGAGGGGACTATTTCTAAAAAAGACCCAAATGCCATGCAATTTCTTACTTCTCCTATATGGTCTTCCAAACTAAAAAGTGTACCTATACCATAAGAATGAAGCATTTTTTTACCATTACCCAATCCTTAGAAACTCTTTGGATAAGAAGCACATGTGCTGAGTGGAAGAAGAAAACCATTGTGTTAAGCTAAAAAAAATGCAAAATTTAATTAGAAGCTAATCACCCAATGTCCTTACATTGGATATATACACACACACTTAATAGACTGTTTTTATTATACCTAAAATAAACAAATAAAAATCTTACCTGGTCTTTCCACTTTGATAACTTCAGCCCCTAGATCTCCCAAATTCATTGTGGCAAATGGTCCTGCAAGAACCCTTCAATATGGAAAAAACATATTGTTTTCTTAGTTTTTCCAATCAGAATATTTGCATTTAGACACACTTACAAATAATAGACAAAACACAAACCTTGTTAAATCAAGAATTTTGACACCATCCAATGGCTTTACATTACTAGCACCTGACAAAAAACAAAAACAGTGATTTCAATCTAAAAGAAACCAAACACATTGTTTTTAGAACACTCATCATTCTCCCTCATCTCCCTTCCCTAATAAATGATATTAAAGCTTTCTGAACAAGCTGGTTATTAGGTGCATACTACATTAGTAATGCGTTTCAAAGTTGGAAAACCTTAAGTATGACATTTCAGAACCTATTCTAATTCCCTAGCAAGTCTCCAATAAAGCTACTTTATAGTGATAGTTTATGTGTGCCTTCCACAAACACTCAAATAGCTTTTAAAGGCTAATCTGAAGAGAGATACAACAAAAACAAGCAACATCAGAATTACATGAGCTAAAAGGACACCAGAACAATGGGAAGCATAGTAGAATTCACCAAGTGTTTTGACCTGTTTAGACCTAACCACTTTCATCACACACACAAAAAGAATATCCCCTGTATAAAACTTAGGGCAGAATACATGAGACAAGGAAACACTTTCAATGGCAGCTCATGCAAGATAAGTATTAAGAAATCACAATGCTTTCTTCCTTTCCCTCACCCTTTCCAACCTGACCAGGTCTAAGGAACAAAGGTAATGTCAATAAACATCACAGACAGAGCAAGTAATCTCACAGTCTAGACCACAGGTTGGCCAACTATTTCTTTGGTGGCATTAGGTTATCTTCTTCTCCCTCAGTCTTTAATTGAAGGCTAGGGACACAAACACTTCATGACCCTGTGAGGACAGGCATTCTGAGTTACTGTTTGGAAGGTAGTCTCATATCACACACAAACCAAAGCACCTGGCCAGCTACACCACTAAAGTGACACATACCAGCTTGTGGCAAGCATCTCTTTTTGGAGCTTGTCCTTGTAAAAGAAAGATGTAAAATCTAACATGTTGGGGGCGGGGGGATCAAACAAACCACATTCATTCAAAGCCTGCAGGGCAGTGTGGTGCATCTCCTATATCATGCAGCAGTGTATGCCTGTATCACCTGCTCCACATTCCCCTCATTAGACCTGAACCAACATTTAGTCACCCTCATAACTCTCCTTCCTACATATGGGAAGAAGATTTATATCAAGAGAGAGATAAAAGAAAGCTATAGAGAAGCAGCTGTAGAAATTCAAGATTTCTGCTAAAATATTTTCATTAACTGTACTGCCTTTAACCAGGACACTTGTATCCCATTGTTCATCTTTAAGAAATTTTCCTCCATTATTACCTCTTAATCCAGGGAGATTTCCATTTAACAGGTTTTGTGCTTTAATACAATATGCAGACTGAGCAGCATGTTGAAAACATGTACATCTGGGAATGGCCATGTGTTTTGTACTTTCAAAGACTTTAGGAAAATCTCAGGTTGCTACTCCTCTTCAGTGCTCCACACCTCCATGGTGAGAAAACAGTTGTGCCAGGTAAACGCCACAGACCCTCCAGTATAACTTCAGTTTTATCAAGCTGGATGCAAAATTTTCTCCACAAAAACCCTACTCTTTTTCCAAAAATATGTAAAAACCTTTCCTGAAGCTCCCCAAAAATTAAAAAGATGTAATTTCAGTTTTAAAAGGTCCACCTTCCTCTATTATTTCCACACCTTTTAGAGCTGTACTTCGATAGCTCACCTATTCTCATCCTGAGACAATATTTAGGGCTACTCACAGATACACTACCAGAACAACAGCAACTTTTCAGAGCCAACTGCCAGGTTCTCTACCTGCAGTCGAGTTGTAGGAATCCATAAAGATCTTTCTCAAAAAAAGCCAGTAAAATGTTAAGATTAGGCTGTAAATATGTATTTAAGCATAACTAAATGTGATGAACCCTTACTAATTATCATATCACTCACATTATGGCATCATCTAACACTCCATTCAGGGGTTATGACTCTTCCATAGCTGGAACAGAATACAAGAGCACAACTGTTGCTTGAAGACAAACAGACCATTGTGATTTTTTTTAATGACAGTAAATAACAGATATCCATGATGATGAAGAAATGAAAGAAAGAGAGATCAAAAGTTTTCTTTTGAAAATTGAGGAACAGACCTGTTAGTCTCTTCAGAATAGAACACAAATGTTCACCAAATATGTGTGAGCTAGATTATATATGCAGTGTGACACTAATTTGCTGAAATAACTGCAGTAGAAAGCCTTTTGACATCAGCAGTTCTGGAACATGAATCCTGAATAAGGGAGTATTATTTATTGTAGGAACAAAAAGAAACAAAAACACATAATAAACAAACAGAAGAGATCAGAATTGATCAGCATTAACTAGAAACATCCCTGGGTTTTTACTTTCATGACTAGCTTCCTAAGCAGGCACATACCCAAAGTCAGACTTTGTTAGAATTCTGACTCAACAGTCTTAATTTTCTAAAATGCAAACTCACATTTTCTCTTGTATTTTTCTACCAGTAACTTGATGACTGAATGAAAAAATCACTCTCCCAGCTCTAACTATATCCTCTGTGTAAACTCTTGATTCCCATGATGCTTGAATTTATTGTGAATTAGACTGTCATATGTATCTTTCATAAATAACTTTGATTAACAATAAATAGACCCGCTCACTCTCAATGTGATTTGCACTCTTTGGCTAAGCTCAATAGCTTGTTCCAAGGTTAGGCTTAGCCTAACAATACAAATAAGCAATCAACAGAGAGACCATTCCATAGAACAGAAATGAATTCTTGTGTCATATTCCAAAAATATTTCCTTTACACTTGTGGCAGAAGAGGGCACCTAGAAGAGACAATTAATTTTTGCAACAATGCAAATTAAGAGATCCCATTCCAATTATTTTCAATTCCAGAAGACACGACTGCTGCACAATCAGCATATTTTCACTTTATGCATGCAGTAAGTTAAAATCAAGTCCATCACTACCGTGGATTAATTCACAATCAGTGGGTACATTCCAGCCTGGAACATACTTGGTACGTTCACAGTAGGAGGCAGAACTGCAAACTTCCTCCAATTCTAGTGCCACCAACGCTATTGTTACTATTTTTCTGTTATTTAATAACAGAGAAACTTGAAACCAGAAAACTATTAATTTGTTGCAGCTTGGGTTTAATTTATTTTTTTTTTAAATTTTAAAAGCATAACTGTAGGCCGTTAGACTTTGGTAACTTTACGAAAAGATCGGGCCTGGAACACGGCGTGCCATTAGCCAGGGCTGCCAGGAGAGCCGACACGCTCCGTGTCCCAAGCGGCGCTCCTGCGGGCGAAGTCCGAGCCCATGGCTGCCCAGGGGCTGACCCCTTTGGCCGCCCCTCGCAGGGACCTCCCGCAGCTCCTCCGCGCCCGCCCCCTCAGAGAAGCGGCTCCGACCCGCGCCCCAGCAGCACCGACTCGGAGCCCGGCGGGATCACACGGACAGAGGAGCCCGGCGCGGCGAGAGGGGAAGCGGAGGAGGAAGAGGAGGGGGAGGAAGGTGCGGCACGGCTCGGTACCTGCCGGGGGAGCGCCTCCGCTCCGCGCCCCGACGCCGCTGCCCGGGGAAGAGCAGGCGGAGGCAGCGCTCAGGGCTCTGGCACTGCCGCCGGCAGCTGCGGGGCAGGGGCTCCTCCAGAGCCCTTCGCAACAGCGGCTGCTTCTTCCCAGCCCGGCGCGCAGCATCCCCGCCACTCGAGACAGCACCGAGCGCTCGGCCCAGGCGCCGCCCCCGGCGCCGCCCCCTTTCCCTCCCGCTCCCGGGACAGCCTTGGCGCTCCCGGGATGGGGCGCGCAGGCGCGGGCGGCCCCGGGCCCAGCGCCGCTCTCGGGTGGCACGGCACGCCTCTCCTGTGCTAGGAAGCACTCCCGCCTGGATTTCATAAGGCAGGGGGGCGTCCTGCAGATGTTCGCGGCGGGAATTCCGCTGTTTGGTGGCTGGGAATTTGCACTTCCAGCTCGGCGTACAGATCGTGACGTACATTGCCAAGGTGCAATAAAAGTAGAAACCCTCCCACCACCCCGAAGGGTTTTCCGCGCTTACCAAGGCAGGCAGCCGCACTGGAGCGCTCAGCGGCTCATCTCGCCGTCACTGAAGGTGCAATATCATTTACACTGTAAGCTGTATCCTCAGCTGGGTGTACTGATGGAAGGGTTAGCTTGAACTGACCTTTGAGCAACACTTCCCTGAACGAAGACTACTTTTAGTCTCTGCTAGGACAGAGCAGAAGGCTTGTTACAGGAACACCATGGTGTCTTCTTGCCTGTCTAACAGGATAAAAAAGCCTGCCCAGAAGTTCGGCATTTGTTTGTCAGAAATATGTGAGGATAAAACAGGTCCTGTATCTCAAAAGCAGCCGAAACTTCTGACTGCTTGAAAATGAGCATGACTAACAGCACAGGCTTAAGACATGTCACATGTCAGTCTGCCTAAATACTGGGGAAGAACATAGAGAAAATCTACGTGGCAGGTTTGTTGACTGGACATGCTGTGTGTAATCAAACGTACTACATGGATTCTTAAAGATTTGTCAACAAGAAGAAATGAATCAGCAGAATTACCCCAGTGTAACTCAACATGTGCACAATGATATGTATTTCTAATTCATATGGTGTGAAAAGGATTTAAATTAAACTGTGCCTTTTTGGAATGAGACAGATAACTTGGTAACTTACATTGATAAGCTGTCTTCTGTAGACATGGCATGCCTTGTGTGCACAATAAAACAGATAGTCTTCCAGACCATAGGATTATCAAAAAATGTAAATGAGCAGGTTTAGTCTCTTTCCATTTTAGAATTTAAAAGATATTGCCTCATTTTTCAGAGACATTGTATAACATAGTGGGGACGTGAGTTCCCTGTGAATATAAAATTAGTGTTTGTTATTGTAAAAAAAACAAGCCAAAACCTGTTTAAAGCTAAAGAAAAACAAGACTGGTATATAAAGCACAGAAACTTTCTGCTTATTTTAATAGTTAACTTTTGTTAACTGCTGTTCTGAAAGCCCTTCTTAATTTTCCTATGTCCTAAAACAAAGTAGTGCTTTGTTGTACTAACAGAAATAAATAACAATAAAAAAATCTTTACCACTTTTTATAGAGCTGTTGAGGGTTTGCGTTAATACACAAAACGAGAACAGAGCAGGAATGGTAATAAATAACATTGTTAAATTGACTTTGTGCTAAATATTAAGTTCTCCTACAAAATAGCATTTTGCCACGAGTTTGTATGAGTAAGTCTTTGCCTGAGCTACCACTCACTCAATTGCTGACAGTTCAAACTGATTTTGAGGAAAATCCTTTCATTAAAGTAGCATTTGCAGGCTCAGACTCCAGAGCAAAGGCGCACAATGAGCATATGTGAAGTGACAAGAAATGTGAGGTAAACACTCGCTTTGCTTTTCAGCAGTTCACTTCGTTGTTTTTTAGCAGCTGTAGAACCGCGGGCACTACAGCCACGCTGAGCCCACGGACGCCGTGAGCCCCATCGTCCGAGTTACCAGGCATCTTCTGAGACTCCAACTCCGGATTACTCCTCTGCAGCTGAAAGCGTGCAGAATCCCTCGGACTCGGCGCGCCGGGTCGCTGTGTGAGGCTGCCGGGCCCTCTCTCCCGCCTCCCGCTTCCAGGCGGGACGGGATGGACGGCGCCTCGACCTCCCCGCCGCGGAACGTTTAGAGGCCGGAACCTTCCGCCCGCCTGGCGGGGAAGAGGCGGGGAAAGAGAAAAGAGCGGACGCGGCGCCGCCGCCATTGCACAGGTTCCGCTCCCGCCGTCGCGGCCGCCGCCATTCCCGGCCTGTCCCGGCCATGTACCGGCCGGGATTCCGCGCACCGACACCTCCCTACGCTGGCGGCGGCTTCCGGAGCCCTCCCTCCGGCGGAGGACCCCTGCCGCCCTCTCCGCGGCGCTACGGGAGCCCCCACCAGACGCCGCCCTACGGCCACCGGCCCGGGCCGTACGGCAGCGGCCTCTCGCCCCGAGGCCCCGGGTTCCACGGGCGCTTCGGGAGCCCCTCGCCGGGGGCGCAGACCCCGCGCAGGCCGCAGAGCGTCAGTCCCCGGTACCCGGCTCCGTACGGCGGCGCGTCCCCGGCCGGAGCGCCTCTGCACCCGCCGCCGCAGCACAAGCGCTCGCCCGGCGGCTTCCAGAGGCACTTCCAGGTACGGGGCAAGGCGGAGAGGGACACGGCGGGGAAGGAAAGAGGGAGGGAGGGAGGGAGGGAGGGAGCTGCTGCTGCTGCTGCTTCTAAGCGAGGCCCGTAGCCCGCTGGGGGAAGGCACCCCGGGGCCTCGTGTCAGCGCAGCATGCACCCGCCAGCAGGATTTTCAGGGACGAGCAAGGCTTGAACCTCACTGGGCAACATCGACTTTTCCCGCGCCCATTCTCCCGCCGTAGAGAGGACAAACAGAGCACAGGCAGCTGTGAGATGAGGAAGGGGAAGAGGGCTGTAAGCTGGCGGGTTGTGAAGACACAAAAGTGCAGCTTTTTTTTTTCCTGAAGGTAGAGAATTAAGCACCGGCCAGAACGACAGCAATCACCTTCCTGCCTCTCTCTGATCAGTTTTCTTTAACGCAGTGGTGAAGTGCGGTTTACTTTGCCCGTGTTGTCATCCGTCGTGGGAGCTGCCCTATCCACACCCTATTCACACAGAGTTGTCAGGGACATGGACAGAGAAAAGGAGTGCTCTATTAAAGAGAATTAAGCTGAGGCTCCTTTAAACAGAAATGAGAGCATCTGTTGTGGCAAAGACTCTCACTTTAGAGTCTTTGCTTTGCACTGAAAACTTCCTAAAAGCCAGCTATGAGTTAAGCTTTTTTTCAGCTGTGTTAGCTGTAGCGTGTGACTGGCAGTGCACACGGGGATGACAGTTCTCAGGATAACAGCTTTATGTATATAACTGGCTTTATGCAATATTAGAGAAGCCTTAAAAGTGTAACAAATGGCACATGCAGTACAATGATAAATTTTTTTTTGTGCTCTTATTGGGACTTGAAGGATTAAATACGATATTGAAGTTTCATCTTAATAGAGATAAGTAAAATCTTAATGTGCCTGCACTGCATTGTCAGGTGTCTATTGAGGATGAGTATTTTGTTACTTTCTTATGATGCAGTTAACTCAAAAATCTCACAGTTGGTGGAAGGGGATCATTACAAAATTTATACATTGTCTTCAGCACAACAGCAGAGACTCTTCTGGTGTGGAAGCCAACAGATTGCATATCCTCAATGCCTTTTGAAAAAGCCAAGCATGCGGCATTTCTGCTGCAGATTACAGAGGGACAATTTATGTCATTGATGTCGAATTTCTCTTCAAAAGATCACTCTTTGGCTGTTTAATTAAGTGGGTTTTTTTCAAAGCCTGCCTTAGAATTAATTGAGCAGAAGAATATGCAGAAATCCTTTTGTCTTCAGTTTTAGTCAGAACTGTTTCATGTCAGCACCTGAGGACCAGACCCCTCCCATAGGCTCCATTCTTGATGTAAGAAACCTGACATAAAGTCAGGCTGCATTCTGAGGTGAGAAACGTGACATAAAGAAGTTACAAGTTTGAATCCAGTCCCAGACTGTCACAACATCTTCCCTTCTCCCCTTTGCTTCTTTAGCCCTTGTGTGTAGTTTAGGAGCACTGGCCCAATGGCAACTCCTTCAGACACTCAAAGGATATTGAATGTCTGTAGCTTTGCCCAGGTATGAAGAAGTGTGTGAGTCTGCACCTTGTGTGTACACATGAGCTATTCTGCCTGGGAGGGCAGTAGAGGCAATCACAGAGGGAATTAATCTCATAAACCATGAGTCCTCATCTGCTTTGGTGTGGACAAGGATCTCTGCCTGTGGGGCCATAAATAGATTCAAGTAGAAAGCTTTTCTGCATTTTCTAAGCATCAGGTTTCTTGTGAGGCATATGCATTGTCCCCTCTTCTCTGCAGAGCCTGTTAAGTGAACTCCAGTGCCTTTGACATTTATGATGCATTTTTGAGATGAAAGTCTTAAGTGGCCCTTCAAATTTGCATTGGAAAATCCAAAACACAGTTTATGTTTACTTTAGGGTTCTATTAATGTCATTAGTATTTTGTACTCATTTTGTGCTTGAAGACTTTCATTATTTGAAACAAAGAGAAAACTTGAAGAAAAACATATTGAGCTTGTTTTTTTCTGAAATGGCTTACTCAACCTTTATGTGGCCAGTAGTTTACAGCACTTTCTGTTTTTTTCCACAGAGGTGCTTCTGCTTTATATTTTATGAAAACATGTTTCTGGAAACAAGGGTCTGTAGTGACAGGACAAGGGAGAATGCCTTTAAACTGTAAGAGAGTAAGTTTACATTGGATACGAGGGAGAAGCTCTTTACTGTGCGGGTGGTGAGGGACTGGAACAAGTTGCCGAGAGAAGTTGTGGATGCACCATCCCAGGCATTGTTCAAGGCCAGGCTGGATGAGGCTTTCAGCTGCCTGGACTAGTGGGGGGTGTCTGTGCCATCGGGAGGAAGGTTGGAACTAGATGATCTTTAAGGTCCGTTCCAAACCAAAGCATTCTGTGACTTGTCTTTGTTGCATTTCTCATCTCCACTTAGAATTCACTTAGTGGTAATGTTTTATTCCCTACACTCAGCAGGAACCACTGAACTACCTGCTAGCAGCAGCTACGGGATGGTATGGATCAAAAACTGTTACAAAAAGTAAAAGAAACACCACCCTTTTGAAATACAGTTGTGGTTTTTGTGGTTTGTGCAAATGCCAGTAGCTGTAAACACATCAGGTGAAGCAAGCTGATAAAGGGAGTGACTGTCCTCAATTTCAAGGCAATATTACTCCACTCAGTAACTTCTTAATGAATGGCACTAAAAACTGTTGTTTTCTACTCCAAAGAGAGATTTCTTATCTAGAGAAAAAGTACTGAGACTAGATTGACTTTTTTTTAAGGAAAGTTCATTGAGAAAATGCGGTTGGCATTAGTGACAACTAATGGAAAGTTTTTTTAAGCTGTCTTTGGTACCAGATAGTGCCTCTTGCACTGAATGGTTTCACTTGTACAGGTGGAGCTGATTTCTGTTTCCACAGGTCTGTAATGTAAATAATGACATTTTGGTTTTCTTCCCTAAAAAAAATTCAGAGGGGAAAAAGCATATGATGACTAGTATTCTAAACTTAAATAATCTCCATGCTTAAATTTAACATGTACTGAAGGCTGTCAGTCTTGCATTACAGAATAATAAATTTCCTATATTTCAAAAATGCTAGAATGTTAGTGTAATGTCAGTGTTACTGATGACCTGCATCATACTGAAGTGAAATTAAAGATTGTTAAATAAATCCATACAAATGAGCCTTACCACTGAATTATTTTGCATCTTCCCTGAATACTGCAGATCATTATATCAGCTCACGTTTCTTTTGCCTTCTGCAGATTAAACACAGCAATAAATTAACTCCACATTCAATCTGTTTTATATGTCAAAGTTAAAAGGTCTTCATTAGATGTGGTAGTTTAGGGATGGTAGGGTTTTGTGTTTATTTAGGACAATGCATTGGGTTTAGCTGTTTCACTACTAAATATGAGTACTTAACATAAATGTCACTGTTGCTAGAGCATATCAGCTTATTTTAGAAAACTCCATGCCCCTTAGAGAGTTTTTAGATGTATTCTGAGGTGATTCTCTGACCCTTGTGAAATTTGATACAGTGTAGTAATTCACCACCTTTCAGAAATTCTTCTGTGTTGAGGTCATCCTCTTAGCTACATAAGCTAACTGCAAAGAATCGTTAGAAACAAGTTGTTGTGGGTTGACACTGGTGCAGTGCCAGTGCACCCATGAAAATATATTTTTTTCAAATGGCTGCTGTGAAATGTGAGCAGAAACAGAGCAGACCACGCTCAAGCTTAGAAATAAAGAAAAAAAAAACAACTTATGAACCTACACTGTAATAAAAGGAAGACACAAAATTCAGAATGAAAACTTTCCAAAACATTCCTCTTCCCCCGTCCAGTTTCCACCAAAGCAGAAAAGGGGAGACAAAACCTTGGATTCTCAGACAAGTTTCCACTTCTCAGGTAATCAATTCTCAGTTCAAGGGAGAGAGGAGTCTCTCTTGTACCACAGTCTATCACAGGAAACACAGTTGAAACATCTTATGCTTCCATGTCACACATGGCACCACCTGGAGAAAATCTGCCATTGTGACCTCCTCCTTCAATGTACAGTGCTCTCACCACCGTCCATGGACCAAAACTGCTTACAGGGTTCCTTTTAAGGATGCTTTGCTAAGTACCAAGAAACAACAATTTCTCATTTTGGGACAACAGTTGCCCCCATTTTCACCTCCCCTGGGGCCGAGGGTCGTGAGAGCAGAGATCTTCTTCTTCCCTGGAGATGGAGAGCACCACCACACCCTCTTCATCTTTCTCTGTTCGCTTCACTCCTGCACATGGCATCACTGCAGCAGGTTCACTCTCTTGGCTCAAACCACTGCAGGCCCCTAAATGCAGTCTCTGTGTTACAGGAAAATTGGATCAGTCTATGGCTATACAAGAAAAGTCCAGCCAAAGGCCACTCCATCATCTCTTCCCACCTAGGATTCTTTCTAATCTTCTTCTGACATCTCAGGTCCCAGGCTGTCTCTCTTCTCTTTCAGATCAAGGAGGATTAGTGTTTCACAAGGTGTTGTTTGTCTAAGAAAGGGTTAAAATCTTGGGCTCTGCTGCTCTCAGGGGCCCAGGACTCCCAGGCTGGGTCCTTCCTGCTCCCCCACCTACCACTTCTGTGGCTGGAAGGGAGGTCTGGACTCTTCACTGCTGACCGGAACAAAAGAGAGAAAGTTCCTCTGGGAGCTCTCTGCCTTTAACGCCCTGTGTTCTCAGAGGGGTATCCATGTCTTCAGTGGTTACACCAGGTGTCAATATTCAAATCTGACCACTGATTGTTTTGGTTATAACTTCCTGAGAAAACTCACTTCCTTGTCAGCCTACAACACAAGTACTCTAGAAATAAGACACGGATGTTCCCACATTTGATCATGTATCCATCATCATCAAACTTCAGGAACTCTTGAAGAGTTCTTGCTGGAAACACATCAGCATGTTCCTGCCACAGCACGTTAGCAGAAATAGGTTCAAGCTGTTGGAGTGAAATCTATTCTTTTGGCTAAACATTGGGTCTTTCACTTCATGGCACAATTTCTCAAAAATTGTTTCACGTGATCTATTTAGATAGGTGTTGTTAGGGCTTACAAGTCAAATTCAAATACCATCACTGCTGATCCAATAATTCAGGGGTGGCTTGGTGGTGTGGGAAAGCAGCCATTAATCAAGTGCTTTTACCGTTTTACAAAATCTGATAACCAGCCTCAAGGCATCCTGTTGCTCCTACCATACAGAATGCAGTGGGCATGCTTGGAGACTACTGTGTATCTGTAGTATGGGTTGCTTAACTTTGGTTAAAACAATTTAAATAAAAACAGATTTAGATAGAACTTAACCTTTTAGAGGAGTGAATCTGAGGAGAACAATGGATGATGCTAACAGGTGAAAATGATTATAGTAGCTTCTTTGTGTCACAGCACTCTTTAAGCTGCAGACTTGTAGCAGCTTTACAGAAGCAATTGTTGTGATCCTTGATCATAAAAAAAATCAAATATGAAAAAGCCAATACCCACTAAATCACTGATTACCACTGAGATTGTATATAAAGTAGTCATCGGTTCTCAAATTTCACAGAACACTGGTTTGGTTAAAAGAGGATTTTTTTCCCCAATGAATTCTTTGTAGCTATTTGCATTATAGAATGCTGTGTTCAAGCTGTGAGTTCTTAATATTTGACTTCTGCTCTTTTTAATATTGTCAGCTCTTCCTCAGCCTCTAACTCCCTGTTTTGTTGTTTAGGTTTTTTTAGATATGTTGTTGACAGAGTATGAAAAATAGCATGAGCTTCTTTTCTGCAGCTATATGCCAGAGTGATGTAAACAAGTGTTTGGGAGGAGACTGTGGGTGGTGCTTTTTTCTTATCCTGGTAAATCATCACTTATAAGTAAAATACATTAAAGTTAATATTTCCTGAGGAAGATGCAAGTGAGGTGAGTAATTACAATTAATAATCAGCTTCAGAGCTCTACTACAGTAGAAGGAAACATTTAAATTTTTTTTTCTTTACATTTTTTTTCTTAGTTTGAATTAGACTATTAAATGTTTCTTTACCTGATGGTTTTCTTCCAAAGGGATCACCCAGGACATCTACTCCATTTGGTACAGCGCATGGCAGAGAGAAAAGAGTGTCTAATGATGTGGAAAACTATTACAGACCTTCAATGCTTGAGGACCCATGGGCTGGCCTAGAGCCAGTGTCTGTTACAGACATAAACCAGCAATACAGCAGTGAGCAAACAACATGTACTGCTAAAAAAGGGAGGTATTTCAGCTAACACTTTTAAAGACCAAATAATTCCATCTTGTCAGGAAAACTTTGGGACAGAATCTTTACACTTACACAAGATGAACAATAATCAAGACCTTAGATAATACTTTTATTTCATCACGTCCACCCTTTTATCCTACCTTTTTTTATTGCATTGGATATTTTTACGTATGGGAGGCAAAAGGAGTGGTAGGAAAACTTACATTTTTGGCTATGTGGAAGTGCCTACCAGCTCTGAAGAACAAAGTGTTCTTTTATCACCAGCGACTGATTTGCGACTGTTAAAACAGGTTTCATATACTTACCTCTCCCATGCCAGATTGTTAGCCTTCTGTTGTAAAGTCTCTTAGGAAGTGGTATTTTTCATGTTTCAACATTTTTAGATTGAAATAACTTGGAAATAAAATAAAGTTTTGTAAATCTTTGTTTTGTAACGTATAAAGAATATTTTAGGAGCTTTGTTAAGGTGAACACATTAACACAGTAATTCACAACACTGAAATTAGGTGACTTCTGTAAGTGTGCTTGTATGCTGTAGTTAACATCTGGTTTTGTGCGTAATAATTTTTGTTAATTGCAGTGTAATGTGAAGTTGAAACATGACTTATAGCCATCTCAGGAAACAAATGTATTGGTTTTGGAAAGTTTAATTTGTTGAACAAACTTGAGTCACAAACTTAATTCTAGAGTTATTTGCTTTTGTGTTTAAAAAAAATATATATATATGGATCAATATTAGAAATTTCTGGATTATAGGAACAAGTCTGTTCATTGACAGTTTAAGTCAAGAGAATGCATAAAACATAAAGCTTAAGTAAATGCAAATACTCTTTCTGGATCCACCTGCTAGAATAGTACAGAATGAGTGACAGTTTTTGTTACACAGTTGATGTTAGTACATGCATAGCATCTTTTTTTAATGCATTTTATATTTTTCAATTATTTTATATTTCATTACCAGGAGAATTGTTTTGTGTGTGTACATGCTATATTTTTATACTGAAGAGGAAAGCAATGCTTTGGGTTTTTTTAGAGCTTGTCTTTACATGGAAGATCCATGCTTAAATCCAGGAGTGAATATCATAAAAAAGACATAGTTCCAGCTGCAGGCTTGTTTTAACTTGCAATGTTAAGTCTGCAGTAGTTAGATAAATTTAGATAAATTTGTTATTGAACTATATGTTTGTTGATCTTGGCTTTTAAGCCAAGGCAGAGTGGAAAAACTTTGTTAAATAAAACCATTAGCTTAGTTTTCAAAATGCATGTGTTCTTTTAAGCTTCTTACGTACTCAAAACATATTTTTGTAGTCCTGAGTCACGGTTAGGTAGAAAAGCACAGGAAATCCCATTAAACTGTTCTTAGTAACTTGTCTTTTGCTGAGGTAGAATAGTCCACTGTACTCTTTATCTGTTTCAGCATAAGATGTGTTAGGTTAGTACTGCCTTCAGGAACAACTTCAGACTGTAAGGGGAGGTTAATGTGTTCAAATGTGCTGAGTCTCTTGTACTCTTAGGACCACAGTCTAAAGTATGTCACTTGTGTCTTCCCCCGGTTCACCCTATTATTTTAGTATTATATCCAAAAAGGCTGCCTCAAGAACTGAGAACGTAATGCCTGCTGGATATCACAAATGGTTAAATCTTCATCCCAGAATCCAAAAATGGTGCCTTAAATGGCAGCTATCAGTATTGTAATTTGTAATAGGTACCAGCTAAACTGAGACAACTTGACAAGTTGTAGAATTTATGCATAAGTTAAACATCACTGTGAAAATTAAAGTGTAAAGTTTTCTTTCTTTTTTTGTTTTTTAAACATTGTCAGGTGATTTTAAGCTCACAGAAAAAAAAAAAGTTGTAGTGTGCTTATTCAAGTGTCCTGTTTCATTGCCGTTTCCGATGTAATTAAAATGCAGTTTATTTTTTGCAATATTTGGTGATCTTGGAGAAACAAGTATGATTTTATTTAAGAGAGTGAATTCATTATGTGTTCTCAGTTAGATGTGATAAGAGTCTGGGTTTGGAAGGGAGAAAGGAAAGGGATTTCTGAAAGAAAAGAGACTGTTAGAGGTGGGACTTCTTACACAGTAAGAAGTATGAGCTGCCCTTGCACATTGCAAAGATGGATTTTTCCACTTTGGCATTGCAGTTGAGCCAGGCATCAAAGCCAGACTCGTCTGGTAATAACTCCTCGAACCAGGTGTCAGACATCAGTGAAAGTAAATGTTCCAGAAAGAGAACTTAAGAAATAACTATGAAACACTATTTAATCCATGCAGACCTTCCACAATGCCGTCTATTAAATTGCTGCTTCAGTGCACTTCAGGACATGACTCAACAATTTTAAGTACATCATACTGCTAAAGGCTACAGTCATTTGGTCAAGAATCAGCACCAAAAACTTGAAAATTATTCACCTTTCTGGCTTCTGGGAGAAATTCTGTAATTACAGTAAAATTTAAATATGTCATTGTTGAAGAGCTGTAAAATGCATGAACACGTGTTCAGAACTATAAATATAATGTTCTTAAAGTCAATTTAAGCTTTGCCATTTTTGCCATGATATCTATGAAGCTTAAGAACATACCTCCTCACCAGTTTTTTCTTCTTTTTACCATTTGGCAAACATCTGATGGAGAGCTCATTTGTTAATGAAGCCACTTCTTAGTACCGGTATGACTCTGGAAATAGCATGTGAAGATAAAATGTAAAGCACAAAATACATCATTTTTTCATGAGGCTGTGAAACAAAATAGTGGTTATGTCTTTTTAATGAAGGGATTGCTCTGAATATATGGGGATTGCTCTTTCTTCAACATGCTTCATAGATTTGAAGGTAAGTTAGCTTCTTTTTCAGAAGTTTGGGTTCATACACTTTACCATTCTGTTTTGTTCTCTTTGTGTTTGTCTGTCAAGTCCATTTGACTTTCTCCTCAGTTTTTGTAAAGTGTAATTCATTACTAACTCTTCCAGTAAAAATTTAATTCACTTGTTGCTCTTTGCTCCTGTGTTTAAAATTGAACTGCATCACTACTACATTAACAGTAACAAGAACTTAAATCAGCTGAGAACATGCGTAATGCAGCAATACACTGGGTGGGTAGTAACCTCAGGATGTGCACTATAATAGTTCAAACTTCAGGTTTGGGTTTTCGTTCCAGCTTTATAATATGGAATATTCATTCTTCTGTGGCACTCAGTACACACATTGATACTGCTAAATAATTTAGCATATTAAAATTTAAATTAAAATGGGATTTTAAAAGTTAATGTTAAACTCCTCCTCTTTAGAATTTGAAGTAATGCATTGAGATGTAGCACTTTCCTAATGTCAAAGCTGGGAAGACTTACCAGGTAAAATGTGTCTGGTTAGCAGATTGGATAACTGCTTTTGCAGTCAGGTTGCTTGTCTTGTTAAGGACATCTTTATGTGCTCTTTATATAAATTATTTCAGTAGAAATCAAAGTGGGGAGCATTTGAAAAATGAATTATATGGAAATTCTACAAGTAGCTGTTCACCTTCCTTCTAAAGAAAAGATTTTTTTATAGTGTGTTTGGTTTTCAAGCAGTGCTTCTGAGTAATTTCATTGAAGTCAGAGGATTTGCTCATGCAACTGGGATATGTAAGTATCTGATGTTACAGTTTGAAAATTCTGTCATCCATTTATCCATCAGTGCTTTTTACCAGCACTGCAGTTCATTCCTCTGCCTAGCAATTGCTCTGAATTCAAATATGGGCTTTTATACTTTACTGTCTTGCAGTGAATTAAACTCATTCTTAGAATATTTTCCAAAATTTCCAAAAAAGTAAAGACTGTTCTCTTTTCTCCAAATCTTGGTGCTTGCCTTCCTTCTATCTTTGAACTGGCTGAGGAAAGGGAGAATTGCCTACACTGATGGGTGAAGAATCATGTAATGATTTTCATATCTCAAGCTTTCAGAAACTTGCATGCCGATTGACATAGGGAACTAGATAAACTTTTTTGTCATTTGAGATGGTTCAAACAACTTTTTACAGCACAAGAAATGAAAGAAATCAAGTTGTGTTTATGCTCAACAGCAATGCAGTTTCAGCATTCAGTCATTAATTCACAATCTTTTTTTTTTTTTTGCCTGGAGTAACTTCTTGTATGTCTCAAAAGGCACAAACTGTTTCAGTTTAATTTTCTGCCATTTTCACTTAAATGTGATTTTGCTGACTTAGAATTTAACAATAATTTTTCAAGCTGGACTTCTGAATTTTCTTTTACAAAATTAATAACTCTTGAATGTTAGATCTCAAATCTAGGCCTTCCCTTTAATCTATTTTAGATCTGGCAAAAAAGGCTATTTCTTATCCCCATTGTTTCCTTGATGATACTAAGAAACCTTGGCCTCCTGGGCTAGGGACAGCTGGGCAGATACTTGGTGTGTGGCCATCCTTCCTGTCCTAGAGGTTACCCCTAGACTTTGGTCATTCCAGGAGCTGTTTTGAGACAAATAGTAATCCATTTTGCTTCACCAGCTTTATATGGAGTTCAGACCACATCAGGGGGGTTGGTTAGTGCACATCCTGGATTTTAAATTCCATCAGCATCTTCTGCAGTAAAATCACAGGTGAATGCCACTGCTGTTTTTTACTCATCTATGGCTGTTGCATATTATTGTTCTGAACTAGTCATGTAAACATTTGTATACAAGAATGTATCTCCTGCAGCTAAAAGGGGTCATACCAGTACAGTTCCAGAGTGCTGCTGACATGTCCTGCTATTATAATCTGCACCAAAAGTCTGTATGTGCTACCCTACTTCTCTGTAGCAGTAACCATGCTCTTTGATGCTTTATTAAACTGAACTTAAACCTGGTATCCATATGTATTTTGCCACAGTCTTAATTGCTGTGTATTCAAGGTAGTTAGAGTCAGTTGGTAGAGTCAATTGGTTCAAATCCTTGTTGTATGCATGAGGAAATTCCTATGAATTCAAACTGCTGAACATGATGTTGATGGAACTGTTAGTGTACCCGTAAAGGGAAGAACAAAACTTCTTTCACACTGATGGCAAATGATTATCTTTTCAAGCATCACAGAGCTGCTGTTAAAACAAGGGAAGAGGAATCAATTGAGAGCTTCTGTGGATGATTGCACAGCATAAAGTACAAGTAACAGGGCTGACATGAGCTTTAAAAAGCACTGATTGCCAGCTTGGGAGTAGTATCATCAATAATTGGATTGTAAGTAGCAATTGCAGTATTCTTAAATCAAACCACCACCTCCTGTGGCTTTATGAAGATTTTTAGGTTAATGTAAAAGAAGGTTTTGAGCTATATTCCCTTAACAGATGTTGGACGTTAATGTTACTATTCCTACAACTGAGTTTGCAGAAGAGACTGTCTTCATCACTTGTCTTCAAAGTTTAGTTTCTTTGCCTTTTTTTTTTAAGCTAAGAAAAAACAGGATTTGAAAATCTCAGGGATGCTAACAAAGATAAAAGGGAGAATTGACATGTGCAAATGGTCCAAGAGTACAACTTGAGTAAATAACTATAAGAAGGCACTGAGAAATTATTAATTACTTGGCATTGCACTTTCCTAAGGCTGTTTCCCTTGTCTGTAAATTTTTGATAGCCTCCTGATTCCTATGGCAATTAAATTACAGTAAGGAAAATTACTGGGTTGTTAATTTCCACATGTTGGAAAGCTGTTTGCACACTATGGGCAACAAGTTAAGAAACAGTGGTAACTGTTTGCAAATGAATGAGCAGCCAAATTTCGTCTCTGTTGGAACTGAAGACAGCTTGCACTACCAGCAGCATTCCTGTCCTTAGAATAGTGTCTAAAATAAAATACCAAGCACGTGGAAAGCTTGTGCGAAGAACCTTTGAATCCATGTTTTCAAGGTACCTGTTGCATCTCATTGCATTTTCTGACAGTAATTAATTTCCTCTTACAACAATTGCTGCATGTTTTATACGTTGGCTGTCCTGTAGCCTGTCATCCTCACTGCTGTGACATGAGGAAGAAATAGTTACTCTGTGTACTTTGTGAATGTACTACTGGTAACAGCCCAGTTTAGTTTCTGCTATTAGATCATCCCAGTACACACCAACCAAATCTCTATGGTCTTACAGCTTGCAAAGTAGATTCTAGTACATTATTAAACATATCCACAAGGCTTTGTGTACGTCATATTTCAAACAAACAGTTTAAAGGGACCTACCAAAAGTGTTTTTCTTTAACACGCATAACCCCACCCAACTCTATCCAGAGAAATAACTTAAGCAGGTTTACCCTAATTTTTCCTCTCCAGAGAGTTTTCTATTGTCTCTTCCTTTCCCCCCACCCCATTGTTGGTTTTTTTTTTCCAATATTGTCCATTCAGCAGCCATAAGTTAAGGCTCCTCTGCCTTGGTTTTCCATGGAAATAAGCATATCTTCTCTACCCTTTCCATTGGAATAGGCTCACTCCACCCTTCAGGGCTCTGCTGAAGGGTTTGATGGAATTGGTGTCATTCAACCACCCAGCACATTCAGCCCCTACAGGTCCTGTTTACATTGCTGGAGATGACAGAATTATGGCAACAAATAAAGTCACACACATCCCTGCTGACTCATCTGAATGAGCCTGCATTGGTTGAGTGGTGGACTTTGTTGTCACATGTGCAGTGAGAACTGTACAACACAGGCATGACCTTGCCATAGTGACCACCCTTCAGATTTAAAAAAAGCCACTACTGAACATGCAGACAAATGGTGTTCACATCTGTGCTAAACATTGCAAATTTAGCAATAATAAACAGGTAGTCACACTAAAAAGACAACAGAAAAAGTGTGTAAGAAGAAGGTATGGAAAAGTGTTGCATTGATCCTAGTTCTTTCTGGTAGCTTCCCAACACAACCAACTCTTAAATACTTACATTTCCACTAAGGGTAGCCTCATTGACAGTACACCAAGTTGGATGGAGGAAAACTACCCCATGAAAGCATAAAATCAGGTATTCTTGCTCCAGCAGCCACAGGATATATTACTGTTTTTAAATCCATGAATGACAAGAAAGCAGATATGCATTTTTGAGAGAAGTGAGTTTGGTGGGCAGCAGAAATAAAAAGGTTGTCTGCCTAGGGACCTTTCCTATTTAATATATTTAATCATTTACTGCCAGTTTGAAAAGATAGTTCAACTTCAGTCCAGCACTTTAGTGCTAAATTCTACTTAGACCCTTTTGAACAGCCTGAAGATCTGCTACAGAGCAACTGCTTTCAGTCTTGAAACCTTTCAATGAGCAGAAGGAAAAGCAAGGTTCTGGTGTTATTCTAACTGTATAATATATCAGAGAAAAACAGCAGAAACACATCCAGTCAAAGCATATAGCTTTAACAGCAACTAGTCTATTTCTAGGTAAGCATCCCAAAATAAATAATCCAGTCTCAGGCCTGGCAAGGATCATCAATTCAGCCAGCTTGCCCCTCCAGCACCTCCAGGCGTGGAGACAATGCAGTGAAAGGGTCTGCATCTTCAAAACACACCATTTGCATGAATCATTCTCAGTCATTTGTACT